AATCTGCATCCCTCCCCCAGTCAAGAATACCATATCGCAGAAGGTGAGTTATATTGACATAAATAAAACGTCAGTAAGATTTGTTCATGACAATGATTTGATAACAATTCAAGTGCGTAACAATTTTCTCTTGGTCTTTCATATATCATGTTATAAGTGGTTTGGAAATTTTCAAGGACAAATTCAAATAGAGATAACTAGAATATTCAATTGTTATATGTAGCATGTGAATAAAACATCGAAAAATAATTGCATTACATTAGAAAACAATGACGACATTATATATATATGCATTCGGTTTTTTACAGATACAAAAGCTCCATTTATTGTTACCTAAATCTGAATCAAATATATTTGTGAATAAAGTGAAAATATTATAATCTATTTGTTCCAAATAAAGTAGCGACAGTGGTCGCTGATAATTATTCAAATGTGATGTATTTGGTAGGATACAAATTAAAATTAGTTGCTTGTAGTCTCAGCAACTGCAAAATTGTGGTTTGAGACCGAATATTTTTGCCCTGTTTACTCGGTTACACATCAAATTTACACATCTATATACAGTTTATGAAGAGAGTTTTCAACAACTCTGGAAAAAATTATGTGAAATTATTAAAAATAACATAATGACAATATACATACACACCTATATTATTATAAACATTTACACACACATACATGTAGTATATGAAGTATATGAAAGTAGTAGTAATAATAATGATCTAATTTATCCTCTGGTAGAAGTCGATTGTATCTCAAAATGAAGTGCAGTAGATTTGCGAAGAATAAAACTCAACGTCGTCTCCACAATTTAATGTCACCATCGGATGTTAGTGCGGTAAAACCATCAATTAGAACATGTTTCGAACCTATATAGGCCCATCATCAGCTAATATTTAAACTTCTACAATAAAAGGAAGAACAATGTAACAATAGTTGACACAATTCAGTATAAACAACTTACCTGGAGAAAAAAATATTTTTTATTATATAATGGAAAAGAAAAGGAATTATCATGTGTTGTTAATGAAAGGAATGGTAACAATGACATATTAATAATGATGAAATTTTTTTCATGGTAGAGAATGGAGAAATGTATCACATCATATTTCTTATATTTCTCATTAACATGTTAATGAGTGGCTTCAAGCCGCCCATAGTTCAATTATTGAGAAATATGATGTGATGAATTTCTCCATTCTCTACCATAAAAAAATCATTATTATTAATATGTCATTGTGACCATTCTTTTCATCAACAACATGTGATTTTTTTTTCCATTTTAAAATAAAAAAAATATTTTCTTCTCCAAGTAAGTGCTTTATACTGCATTGTATCAACTATTGTTACATTGTTCTTCCTTTTATTGTAGAAGTTCAAGTATTAGCTGATGATGAACCTATATAGGTTCGAAACATGTTCTAATTAATGGTTTGACCGCACTAACATCCGATGGTGACATTAAATTGTGGAGACGACTTTGAGTTTTATTCCTAGCAGATCTAATTTATGTCTTCACTAATATTTTGCAGATATATTTTCTGCTTTTTCAGAGCTTAGGTGACAGCAGTATATAATCCCTACTCATATTATAAATGCGAATGTAAGTTTGTTTGTTACGGTTTCACACAAAAATTACTCAACCGATCATCATGAAATTTTGTACACATGTGCTTGGAGGTATTAGAAGTAACATAGGATACTTTTTATTGAAAAACATATTTTTAATAATTGTTAATAAAAAAATATTGTAACTATTTGTGTGAAATGGTCTGTCATGAAATTTAATCTGACAAACCAAATCCTACGTAGGCAAAGCTGCGGGTAATAGCTAGTTCATTATAAAACTTTGTTATCTTTCAGTCTAACAATAATAAATACACCCAAAAAACAAATGTTCCATTCATGATTCATTTTGTAATATGTGAGCATTTGTCCATAGAAAGTTCAAAGTTGCTATTCTTAAATGAGATGCTATTTTGTGGTTCGAGAGAACTTCCAACATTCAGTTCTTGATTGGATGGTCAACATACATCCCAGTTTCAAGTGATCTTTCATTTTGGTCTCCTCAATTCTAATTCTTTCGAAACTATTATAAACTTTCAAATTTTCATTTGTTCTGTATTAAAAGTTGAAATACAAAATCTGTGAAAACTGGATTATTATCCAGTGCTTGGATGCTTTTTATATACACAAAAAATTTCAAACAAATCGAAGTATTTGTACCTTCTCACCATTTCAAATCTTAAATGAAAATTGTTGTATTGCATAAATATTTCATGAAAACTGAATATTTTTCAAACTATCCTGACTCTTGAGAGGTTTCTTGAATTATTGTCTACCAGATATAATTGGTCAAGTTAATCATTGTTTTTTTAAAAGCATATGAAAGACTAAATTATCAGTAAATGATTATTTCATGAATATTATTGTATAAATGTCGAAACCAATTTTAAAACATTCTTATATGAAACTAGTTCTTAGTTTGGGGATGCTTATAAATTGTCCTACACATGTTATATTCAGGACAACTATTAATTTCACAAAAATTCAAATCAGTAAATTTATACAATAAATCTAAGGAAAGAATAAATGTATATTTCTTGAACTATTACATAGTAACGAAAACTGGCTTGTATACACCTGTTAACACTATTTCGATCTGGTCTAAATATGTACACTGATTTGAGTATATTTTAATGAACATAAATGAATTCTTTGTGGTCATCTGGAACTAGGTATACCGGGTTCCTTCTCATTACTTTTTTGTATTTTCTGTTATCAAGGTGGAATTTTGATGATTCAAATGGTATCATAATTTGAGTTGATTGGATCCAAAATATTTTCGTTCCAATCACCCCAACTTTGGAACTCCGAATGGAGCATGCAGTGTATTTTTTTATTTTTGGATTCAGCATTCATTGCACAAAAAAACATTTTTTGAGATGGAAAACACTGCGAAGTACTTTTTACATTTGTCAAGGGCACTATGATGACTGAAAAATATTTGATTTGCTTCCATAATTTGAATTTTATTGAAAATGAAAATTTTTGTACCAATGATATGTCTGTAAATTGATTTATTTTTCATTAGGTTATTCAAAAATTAAATATCTAATGTCAGTATGGGAAATGACAACAAATTCTTTATCAAAACTAATTGAAAAACCAATATAAAATTATGAGAAACTTCACATTGATGTGGCCCCAGTAGATAATTGAATTAGGAAGTTTTCGAGCTGCACTATTCTCTTGTCCTAATTGTTGCCTCTATGCTGCCAGTACCAACAAAATCAAGTAAGAGATAGTGCAAACCTATGGAATTTCCCCACATATTTTGAAAAATCAAACTACAGTCCACTAAGTTTCAAAATATTTCTTGGGGAACCGTTAATTTCGAGAAACAAAAAGTTATAGGGACAACCCTGAATTGGTTTACACATGGTATATTATTATTATCATTATCTCCATCGATATGACTTTTCAGTACTCACCTATATCGCACTTATCACTATTTTGGGACACACAGCGCCCTTTATTGTTAACCCTCCAGTCATCCAAACAGGAGATACATGTGGTCTTGTTGCACTCACTGCACCCTGGTGGGCACTCTATGCATTCTCTTTGCTCCACATCTGCATAATGATGGGCGGGGCACTCCTTGATGCAGCGCCCTTCGTGCCATAAGGTGTTGTATGGACAGGAGATGCACTGAGAACTATTACTGCCAGAACACGTTTCACAAGATTCATGACAAGATGTACAACTGTAAAAAATATGAAGAGGTTTCAACGATGGAAAAATTGAACAAACATACATTTCTTCCTATATAATATAAAAAATGATGTCACCTCTAACATAATTCTTGTTCATCAATGATTGTTAATATTCACACTTCCAATGTATTTACTCTATATTATTTCATTTGAGTCATCTTAACAAACACCTCAAAAAGGTAATTACATGTAGAGGTAAGTCCTAGGAATCGCACTTCGAAAGGTAAGACCTTGTTGATCCTTAGCTCCCACAAGTTTCGACTTCGGAGAGTTGACGTTCACAGGGTAGCCACAGCTGGTTAAATAATCCTACAATTTTGTACCCGGATGCTCATTTCAAACCAAAATGGAGTTATTGAAATAATCGTGTAGGAAGTGCGTCCAATACTAAGAACTGGTAAAGATTTTAGTGGAACAAAGAGTCCACAAGATGAATTGTAGAATTTTCTAAATGCGTACCATCTGACCTGTGTTGGGAATTGTACGTCAAAAGGAAAACTTCGTTAATTCTTAGCGCATACAAGTTTTGACTAACAAGATTATCGTTCAGGAGGGGCGACATCTTTCTAATGGAAAACAGATTTTCACCAACTTCACCTTGAAGCATGTAACATAATGAATCTACTGTAAAATGTAGTAAATGTGACATGGTGCCCTTTACCTCTGGGATGGAGAATTGTACATTTTCATCAAACATCTACACAAGGTATATAAATATTACTGGATTTCGTTCATTTTCACACATGAGAGGTTCACAAAAGAAAAACGTACAATACAGGAAAAGAAAAACGTACAAAACAGAAAATAGCAGCCAGTATTGGTTTATCAAGGGGTATTGTAGATGATATAATAAGGAAGAAAAAGTTTAGGTTAAGAATGAATGAAATGTCGACTTTTAAAAACAAAGAAAACTAAGATAAATACCTATATTTTCAAAGANGAACAAATCACTTTGATTTAGAATGATGAGTATGGCATTTTTTTATTGAAAATATACTTTTTGACCTGAAGTGATTTGTTTTTCACAAATAAAATAGTACGATTATTACCTAATGAACATCGTACACACAAGGGTTAAATAATAATCTAAATACTTAATAGGTGAAATTTTCATCAGCAACCTTCAGAGATCGTATTTTCCAACAAATATTTTTTGACCTCATTGGTTTGTTTTCGAAAAAAAAAACTGTTATTTTCTGTACAAAATGTTTTTTGTTGATTTCCTCATATCTAGCTCAAAAATTGTAAGGCTCCCAAGGTTTGTTGAATCAGACAAAGATTGTGTATTTGAAAGAATAATAAAAATTTTTTTTCAGGTCATGACTAGCAGTGGTCGTTTTTGAGATACCTACTCACAAAAAACTGAAGTTGCCGGATTTCCTTTGTTAGGTCTATCGCCTACACTTTAAATAAGTAATATAAAAATGAGGCGAAGATACTTTTCGTGATGTTTCATATTTGTTATGATCTGGTTTTTTCAACAATTTCATTAGCCACTATCATTAACTTCAGCCATTCATCAAAACACATATAATTTAAACGTTTCTCTTTGAAAAAACATCATAAGAGTCAGGTCATACAATTCCTGTCGAAGATGTTTCAAGAAGTTGACATCATTATTATTCATATATACAACTCGAACATAAATTAACTGCCAATATCTGTTAAAAATTGATAGATGCATCTCTACAAGTATTTGTAAAATATCACAAGTGTTCTTAAAAAATACAACAATGCATTTCTCGTAGTTTCTCTTTTAAAAAACGTCACTGAAAAATGTCTTCCAACAAAAGTCCAAATTATAGCTATCACAAATAGTCACGATGAAACCAAATCAGTTTATATTCCTTCATTTTACGGCTTACCGTGAAAACTTTCTCAACAGTACTTGTGAACTATAGCAAAAACTTAAAAAATGCATAGGCATTCACATCTTTCGTGACAATTTTAAAGAAATATTTGGAAATGATGTAGATCGTTGAGCTCTACATATGAATATTATTGATCTCTACTTTCCTGAAACATTTCTGACAGGAAATTGGCAGACTCTGATTATGTTTTTTCTGAAGAGAAACGTGAAGAAATACGTCTATAAATTATCCATTTTGTTATGATATGACGAAAAAAAACCAAAGAAGAAAACCAGATGAAATTGGTTTATACCAAATTATAACAAACATGAATCAATATGAAAACTTTCTTTGACTTATTTTCCACGAATTTGAAAAGACGGAAATTTTGCAAAATACGAAATTGCAAGATTGCCAATTAAAATATATACATAGGAAAGCAACCAAAACAAATTTGAAATTGAAACCCTGGTAATGAGGCCAATTTCTATCATCTATCTGTACATACAATATCCAAGTGTAACTTCATGCTACTCTGAGCACAAGCCTGGTAATTAAATCAACACCACATTTTCATACATCTAATGATTCAGTTAACCCAGTGATTACAACCATTCAGTAACCCCTAATTAGGATTAACTGTAAAGTAACATCATTTTCCTAGCTGTAACTCACTTTCATAATATCCTTCGGGACACTGCTGGAGGCATATATCAAGATCAACAACTCTAACGTGTCCTGGTGAGCAGGTGACGCAACTTCTTTGATCTGGACCTGTGCATGTTTCACAAGCTTCGTGACATGGCTGACAAATATTCTGGAGATCAGAGTAGCTTCTTGGTGGACACGTTGATACGCACGTTCTGCAAACAAATTTAAATCAGTTTCGTAAGTTCTTAAATATAAGGAGGATTTACAACCAAAAGTTCATGATTCGGATCTACTTTGGTAGAACCTTTAAAAACTAGTATTCAGTAGTGCTCTTGGGAACCCAAAATTTGTTCATCTGACAAAGCGGACTTTCTGTGTGTAACATTTTTAAAATATATTTTTGAAATTTTTTCATCTGTCTGGGTGCCCTTTATTGATATTCAGAATCCGGTTATTGAGAAAAATATTAGTTGAAAACAACGAACTTTCTCTCCTTTCAAGAGACTGGTCGTTGAGTCCATAAATCCAAAAAAAAACCACTTTTAATACACATCAGAACTTGAAAAACTTTTCTTGAATCGTGTTTCATCAATCAAAACTAACTCTGCTTGTTTATTTCTGACAAAATGAAATATCACTTTTAGAATATGATGTAGGATAGTCACCTTATTAGATATAATTACATTAGCTTCCAGGAACTAGTTCTACTTTTCAATCACTTCAATGAGGGTAATAAAAAATCATTAACTGTTGACAATTCCATTCAGAAATTAATAAATTATGAAAAACTTTTCCATGAAATATTGTTGATATGACTGAAAACACCAAAAACGTAATTATTCCATTGATTTCAATGAGTTCCAAAAGCGTTACAGTTAAGGAAATATATTCATGCTTACTTATACTCAGGATTGTTTTTTAAGACTATGTAGTTTAACAAAATCAATCGAGCATCAAAGATTAGACATATGGCAAATTGAAACAGCGCTGTTTGGTTTTGAACCATTAATGCTTTGTTTTTGAGTTCCGGTTCTACCTAGTTGCCTTGTAATGAATGCAATTTCCTATTCGGGGTCGATGTTGAAGCTTGGCATTGCAGTAGACCCTGTTGACCCTTGTTTATATATCTTGGACAGGAAATGTTTGAATTTTCTTGTTTTAACCATAGAAGGCTTTTTTCTCAAAACAATTATATATCCTGCTCCATCTCTGAGGTCATTTTGACACCAGAGGTTTATCACAAAATTGGCAACTGGTGTAAACAGCAAAACTGTGACACTCTTAACCAGGTGCCAAACGTTTGACATACGTTTGTCAGGCTGTAAATGCCAAATGACAATATAAAAAATGAGACAAATGTTTGGACCCATTGTTTCGATTGACACGGCTCAATTTCGTGATATTTGCCGTTTGAGTGTGTGTTCAATTACACGAAACTGCAAATTCTTTTGGTAACCTAATCGCACTTTTAACTATTTTCTCCGGAGCGATATGTCAGACAACGATAAAATAGGGGACGGTATTTTCAAAGACGACTTTTTAAAGGACTCGAGGGTGACATACAGTGAAAACACAGAAGATAACCCTTAATACCCTACGGCTGCAGAAGTACATGTTCTGTAGAACAGGAAAGTATCACGGAGAAATTGAAAAGATCCAAATAATTAACTCTTGATTTCTTTTATTGGTGCGGGCAAACTGGAATCTGCATCCCTCGAATAGCAAGCCCCAAGTACTGGGCTTGAGAAAAAGATTCTAATGAGTTTGGTAAAGGCGTTGATTGGAACGGTGTCAAAGTTAAACCATAGGTTATCATTCACGTTATGGTTATACAAGTGCATAATTCACAGGAAAACGAAAAATATAATTTGATTTAAATGGCTGCTTAGGGTACATCACCCTGGGCGCCAGTTTCCCAGGGTCGCCCAAGGTGATCCTGGCAAGATTGCATCCTTTGATTCCATCCCATCCCTTTAGGGATTGAGCATGGGTGTAACATTTGGCTAGTTCCGCAATTGTCGAAGTCATCAGGCCGTAGGTGCCACTGCGTCCTAAAATTCCTAGTCCAGCCACTTCCTTGGCTAAAGAGTAGGCAATGCCATTACCTTCACTCCTGTCGTACCCTTTAACCCAACTCAGGATAATGTTATTATTTACGGAGGCTTTGGCTATATCTTGGTGACACTCTAGTACTAGCCCTGAGGTTACACGTTGTCTGTTTAAAGCTAATAGAGCTTGTCTGCTGTCAGTGCAGATTATATTTTTGCCAGAAATTCCTCTCCTGGTTATTTCTTTTCTGGCGATTGAGATATCAGCCATTTCTGTTTGGACCACGCTGGTATTTTTCCCATTCACCACTTAATCCTTAGGCTTAGTGGACTGGAGTACACTCTACATCCTGCGCCTACTTTGGTTTTGAGCGTATATATGCGTATTACATGTTACTCTGTATTTTGTTTTATTTGTATTTTGTAGGGTTTATTAAACACAAACCTGGGTTCAATTGCATCACTGGTTGCCTACAGCAAAGGTTGCGCATTAAGCACTTCCCGCCATAGGCCCAGCCTCAATTGACCCATTCCTACTTCGAGGTTTACACCAGTTGTGCGCAATCGTACCATGGCCATTAACACAACTTCCTTAAAGTATAGGTCCAGAGGGGTCAGACCCGTAATTAATTCCATTGCCGCGGTTGGTGTTGTTCCCATGGCTCCTGTGATGTTCAAACAATCAGACAATTAGTCGTCCTAGTGTCTTCTGACATGCTCATAAGCCACATATGCTCTTTTTACTCTACTCTGTAGGTGAGAGTTCCATGTTAGCTTCCTGTCGAGGATAGTACTAAGGTATTTCACCTCTTCAGAGAATTTCAGTTTGCTTTTGAAGATTTCGGGAGGTTTTAAGCCCGATAAACTTCTTTTCCTGGTTAAAAGGACCATATCAGACCTATGCCACTTATTTGACACGTTTTTCGGCGGTGTCACAATGTCAAATATATGTCGCTTTTGTCATATCGTGTACTCTTATCTTCACCCCAATGCACACTCAATTGCGGAACTGACTTATTCAACAAACGTAATTGTATGCATCAACGTAATTTATGCATGATAAAAAAGTTGTTCAGATTCAACTCCTACTTTTCAATATGATAAGCAAGCAACTTTCAGATAAAAAATCACGTTCTTCATTTTTATAATCCAAACTAAAACAAAAATGCACGGGTATACCTACACATTGAACATCACTCACAGGTAATAGCGTTATTATGGTCGATGTTGAATCAACTAAACTTACCTTTTACCTAACAGATATTGACATAATGATAATACTCACTTATCCATTCTTTTATTTCTGCAAGCAATACACTTTGTTGGACCTTTTCCAAAACATCCTTGTTCATCACATTGGTCATCACAGTTTTCTTTGATATCTTCATCTTTGTTGATGAAATTGTTTTCGTTAGCTCGAACTTTGGTATTTTTTCCATCAAGGGAACTAATGACTGCTTCAGGTTCAGACCCAGAAAAAGTATATATACCGGGAAAGTCTTGAAAATTTTTAAATATATCTTCTTCAAAAAAGTTATCCGTTACTGGAGTTACAGGTTGTGACTGAGTGGGAAACGAGAATGTGTTCAGTGGAGATCTCCAGGGAGTAGAGCGGGCACCATTAGTAGGCCGAAGTCTTACAGGATTCACAGAGGTGCCATAGAAAATGAGTTGCCATTTTTTTAAGATTCCTGGTTGGTTGACGTGGCGATTACCTAAAAATGTTTATAAACTTATAAAATACAACAGTGACTACAGTAATGAAAATAGTAGATATTTTGTAAATTATTTTGTGCGAAGCAAATATGATCTTTCATAAATTTGTTCATGAAATGAGCCCAGGTTATCAATTGCAAGTTTGATAGTAAATATTTGATCAAAATTCGTCATGCAATATATAATTCTGAGATTTAGGTTAATCGATTTACAATCATGAGTGGTTCAATTTGTGAATAAAATTATATTCTCCGAAGTACTTGGTACCAGTAAAAGTATTCATTATTTTTTTTTACCGTAGTCAGGTCAGGCCCTTTCCCCCGAAGCCCCGATACATTCGGGAGGGCGCGCTAGCATTATCAACCAACCTTTGCCTGGTTTGGTGATCCAAAATATTTTCAAATGCGGTTGTAGACAAACAATTTAGTTTTATGCCAACGTTTCAGACTTTATTAAATCCATCATGAGGGCTCAAACATTAGTTATCCATGTCAAAAAAACGTTCAAAATATATGTGTTAAACAACATATAGGTACAAACGAAAATGAGGACCAAGCAAATGAAAACACATACACCACAGACACATTAAAAATGAAAACGATATCTAACGATATCGTTTTCATTATCGATTTCTAACGATATCGTTTTCATTTTTAATGTATCTGTGGTGTATGTGTTTTCATTTGGTTAGGTTAGGTTAGGTTCATTTGGTTGGCATAAAACTAAACTGTTTATCTACGAACATTTTTGATCCCTTTCCCAACCAATAAAAAAACCGCATTTGATTATCAACCAATGCCCACTCCCAACACCGTGGTGTAAGTGATCATTGGGTCCGAGAATCATGTGCCTCGAGCAAGCGTAGTGAGCCAAGAATGACAGCCTTCTGCATCTGTCCGGCTAAGATTTCTGCCTTATTGCGGCAAGCCGGTATGATTTTAAGATTCGAGAGTAGAGAGGGCATCATTCCACCAATGACTCCAATAAGCAGAACAACCATCTTGACAGAGTGATATGGATAGAGTCTGCAGAGCTCGAAGAGAAAATCTCGATATTTTATCCGTTTTTCCTCCTCTTTTTGGACGATATTTGTCTCGCCGGGAGCTGAAAACTCCATGACAAATATCGTCTTGCTTTGCTGACGACAGCACACTCATCTCGTCATTTCATTTGGATTCCAGGATATCGGTTGAGGATGCACATCTTCACCGGCAGCAGGAGGTTGCATATCTTAATGAGGACATAGCAGTGATTTCGAATTGGGGTGAAACTAACCAGGTTCAATTCAATGTCACAAAAAGTCATGCATCGGTTTTCTCCAAAAAGATAAATGTCTCCGAACCGGATATAATATTGTCAGGACAGACAATTCCGCTTTCTGTTTCGATGAGTTTCTTGGGGGTTGAAATGGACACCAATAAGTTTTGGCACAATCATGTCGTTGGAATTGCAAAAGCTGCGTCTCAAAAGCTTAGTACACTGTTCCGAACCAGAAAACTGTACCCTCCTCAGCTTTATAAAGCTCACATCAGACCTTGTTCTCATGTATGGAGCTCCGCCTCTGAGCATACCTTGAAACTGCTGGATTCCATCCAGAAAAGAGCTACCCGCCTGATTGGAGACACAAACATCACTTGCAACCTTGATAGAGTCTGGACCATCGAAGAAAGGTTGGAGATTTGTCTCTCTTTCATAGATACTTTCACGGGAGGTGTTCAAGTGACTTGGCAAACGTCATTCCACCAAGAGCGGTACATATCTGAAATACGCGACGGACTGTGGCTGCTTATCGTTTTGAAGCTCAACTCAGTACACCTCAAACTTCACTTTTCAAGAACTCTTTCACTTGGAGAACTGCGCTTATATGGAATAAACTTCCTGGGAACGTCTTTCCAAATCGATTTAATCCAATATGAATTGCCACTTTCGTACAGGCACCGCTGTTAGAGCGCCTTAAGGATTTTTCTGCAGTGCTTGGGTTTTGTCCTTCAAAAAAATCATGTTACCAGATGAACTTCTGTTGATACAAACTGCTGATTCGCCTTTAGCCGAAGGAAGAATATAACTTTACAACTCCCAACACTCGATGAATTCATTTTGCATTTAAACATGAAGTCTTATGTGAATGTGAGGACTGAAGTAACATCTAATTTCACTACCAGATTGAAAATGAAGTCTTATGTGAATGTGAGGACTGAAGTAACATCTAATTTCACTACCAGATTGAAAAATTTGTCAAATAATACATATATGTACTCACCCCATACAAATTAAATTCAATCCTTCAAGTCACATACCTAAATATTTTGATAAAATGTCTAACTGTTAAGTAGACTTGAGCTCACTTCAGGTTAATTTCTCATGATTTCAGTTGCTTTCAATTTCTAATTATTATTATTTTGCCACAGAAAGGCCTATATTGAAATAATCATACCAAGTGTTTCCATAACAAGTACCTTTGTTTTGTGAAACCCCTTCCTGGTCAGGTAACTTAGCTTCCTCAAATATAACATGGAAAAAATTACGTTTACCTATCATTACATGCAGGATTCACGCCTCTGCTTCGGACTAAAGCGGCAATTTCTATATTACATAAACAATATTGTGATAGAGCACCACAATATATGTTATGGGAGTAACTCTAGGCTTTGGGGTAACTTGTGTCGATCTTTTAAAATTTTCAAGTGTCAAAATAACTATACGACTGGTTTTTCGTGATTCTTATAGAAATTTGTTCGGTGAAATGAACAACAATTGATTTGTTTTGTCATTATCAACTCCTTTTACACTATTGATAAATATAAACGTTGCCACATATATTGCTACAACATTGAATTATCATGTAGGTATAAATTTTCTGCTTGAACTTGAAGTTTGTCATCATGGTTTATTTTCATTTCAGCATCCAGTCTTGTATGTACCATTTTTGTATTAGTGCTATTGCGTTTTTGATATGACCAATTCCTTTTGTTCAATTTTTTTCTCTCATATTTATTAAAACTGTCATTGTACACCCTCTTTGTGTATGTTTGTGTATTGTGACTTGCTACAAATGTTTTCTACATAAGATAGTCAAGTAAAGTGTCTATCATCTATCTATCATATGATTAGGTATAAAAAAGCACAACAGTGTTGATTTGAAATACTTTAAGAGAAATAAAATTTCCATACCTCCGTTAACGATTTGCAAATGCCAGCGTCCTTCAGCCTTCTCACCCCAGAAGTGAACACTCAAGAATGGCCAATCGTCAAAATTCGAGCTGACCACGTCTCGCGGTCTCTCAAAAAGAAGTATCGATGTAGTACCCATCGGAGAAGTGAGCATAATCCTCAGATTTCCACGTGGAAAAAAGCGAAGTGTTATTTTGCATTGCACGTGTTCCAGAAATCGAACTTCGTTAAGAGTGCCACTACAGGCGTCGACGTCCGTGAAGAAGTTAAGAGTAGTACCTGGAATGTAATTGGCGAGATGAAATAATATCTGAGAGAATATTTTTTGTTCATTATTTCATAGACTATGACCAGTAAAGTTCCCATCCTATTTTGAATTTGAAATCAAATAATTTGAATTTGAAAATTGGGACTATTCCTCAAAATAACGAAAAAAGTATCCCCATTGTGTAAAGTTTCAGCTGCATGAAATAATTTCGATATTTTGACCATTTTTTGTAAATTGCATATTATTATTGGGAAATAAGACTGAATGTAACCTACATAAAATTTGTTTCACATGTGACCAAATTGTAATAAGTAGTCTCATTTGGATTTTATAGAATCAACACATTAGTGCTTCTTCAAAAAAATGTGTCTGAAATGAACCAATCATTATCAATACTGAGAAGTTTTAGGTTACCTTGAGTGTATTTTACTGCAACACTTTGGAGTTTTTGTGGAAGAAAATAGGATATGCTATTATTAATGAAAAATATATGATGTGGAATTTACTGGTCACACTGTATAAAGTGATTCATAATCACCAATGTAACAGAACTATGGGCTGATTTGGATTTTTAACAATATTCTTCAATATTACCTATAACATGTATCACTATACAGGGTGTCAATTTTAAAATTTCCCACCCTTAATATTTTCCTTTCGGAAAATGTCCATCAAAAAATAATGAGCCAGGATACCATTGGAAGCAGAATTGAACGCCAATCAAAAAGATGTGCTACTTGACCCCCCTTTCCATTCAAAATTATAAGGGTAACACCTACCCCTCCTAGGAGGTTGAACCATGAGGGCTACAAAAAGTCCTTGAAAGTGTCCCCCTTGACAATAAAATTTACCTGTTTTTTCGATTTTTCATACTATTTACTGGAAGGAAGATATTAAGGGTGGGAAGTTTTCAAATTGACGCCCTGAATATTGGACGACAACTGACTTTTTTCAATTTTTATAAACTGTAGAACTACAGACAATATTTATGTGTCCATAGTAGCTTGTGTTTAGTAAATCGAGGTCAACAAAATCCACCAAAATTTCAACTGTTTCATTTAAAATACATTTTGTATAAAGATTGTGTGTGGATATCATAATATAGGTAGGTATATATTGACTTTTCAAGTCAATGTAAACATTATTACATGTATATTATAGCAACTCTTGCAGACTGAAAACCTATTTGCCAAGTTGACATACAGGTATTTGGATGACTTTTCGAATATTGCTTGCAGAAAAAAAAGTATTATTACGATGGAAAGTATATATGCTAGATTGTAACATCAAAAACTAATCAGTCATACAATAATGAAGTTCTGATCTATTTGAGAGTTTTATTCCCTAAAAAATTGGAGTCTTTTGACGAAAACCTTCAAAAATTTTGATTTTTTGTCCTTGTTAACCCATCACCTAAATAAAAAATTCCTAGATTTCCCTCTATTAGTTGTTCTAGAAATTATTTTCAATCCAAAATCATTTCAGGTAAAAATGTCCGTTTCATTTAAAATACATTTTGTATAAAGAGTGTGTGTGGATATCATAAGTTTAATATACATGTAATAAGCTAAAATATAGGTACATGCAATGGTGTTTATATTGACTTTTCAAGTCAATATAAACACCATTACATGTATATTTTAGCAACTTCTGCAGACTGAAAACCTGTCTGCAAAATTGAAATATTACGATTGTAACATCAAAAACTTTTTAGTCATACAATAATGAAGTTCTGATCTATTTGAGAGTTTCATTCCCAGAAAAATTTGAGTCTCTTGACGAAAACATCCAAAAATTTAGATTTTTTGTTCTTGTTAACCCATAACCTAAATAAAAAATTCCTAAATTTTTCTCTAATAGTTATTCTAAAAATTATTTTCAATCCAAAATCAGTTCAGATAAAAAAGTCCGTTTATGAAAAAATATAGCAAAACTGCTATGGTACCAAATTCACAAAACATGTATGGGATTTTTTTTATACAAATTCATTAGTTTGTATTATGAAACTCACCATAAGCGGAATTGATCTGCTTCTCTTCAAGTATTTCTTGACTTTTGCAGATATGTTGGGGGGGAACAGTGGTCCATTTTTCTGCCAAAGTAACCAATGCACCAGCATCCATTAGACCGTAACCAAATTTGTGTGAAACTTTTCTCCTGACACCATTAACAACCCAACCTGATTCTTTCTCCAGAGGTGCCGATCTCGATGTTAGCACAACCAAAAATTGCATGTCTCTCCACGTGAGGGTAGGATTCGCCTCCAAGGCTAGGGCACAAATCCCAGCAGCTGAAAAACAAAAAAATGTCAGATTCAACTGGAACATAATAAAACCTGTTAATAAAACCTGTTATTCAATTATTTTTGAAGAATACAGTTCCAATGGAGAACCTAATATAGTTGAATTGTCTATGAGTTATTTTGAACTTCCTTTAAAAAATTTGTGGGTTTTTCGTTAACCATCTAGCAGCACTCTAAAATATCAACCCTTGGAAGTCTTCAAGTGATTTGTGCGATCATGTCCAATCAATAAAAAAATATTCTTTTTATATGAAGATAATATTTTATCGGCAAACTCCTTCATATAGGTACATAAAAGAATTTAAAATACATTTCTCAGGAAAATAATATGTTGAAATTATGACGAAATGATTGAAAATACAACTGACACTTATACATACATATATACAAATATGTACAACACATTGAACATTAAATATGAATACATATGTCTGAGAGAAATCTGATGAATAAAAAAATAGAAAATCAAAACATAATCATATACTACACCAACAATAACTGAATTTAGATTATTTACATCATAATCCATATACACATTATACACTATAGGTAGTTTCCTTTGAGAGAAATATGTCAATAGTTTTTCTGATATTGTTGATAGATCTATTGTTTTTACACTTATATGGTCATTACTTTTAGCTTTTAGCTCATTAGAATAATTGAGGGACAGGATAATCTCAAGTTATTATTTTGACGGATGAACCTGATAACTAACTCATACTGGGCTTTGAAAAACTCTTTGCAATATATTCTTGGCCCTTACTTTCAAATATATTTAATGACACGTTTTTGAAGATCTAAAATATAGTTGAACAACATTACAAGAAGTCCCCACCATAAATTGCATATTATTCAACAAAGACGTGGTTAACAATTTTTGTAGTTTTTCTACTGAGTTCATTTGATATGTATAATTTTCTATAGTTTTCTAATTGAATTAATGATTTTTCGAAACTGAGACCAGCTTCCAGATTCAATTTGTTAGAAACACAAGAAGAAGTAAATGTATGATCCATAAATTAGTTGTGGTCATTCACGATTGGATGACTTAGTATTGGTTTTGAAAATACTAAGAGAGAGGGAAAGACGATTTACATTGTATACCACTAATGCATTTTCGAAATATCTCTATGTATTACATTATAACGCCTAATTAGTCCTTTGGCATGCCACAACATAGTTGTATCACCTGCAAATATAGTGAAATGACCTTCCGTTTTCGAATTTACAAGGCCATTACAATATATATGCAATAAAATAGGCCCAATCATGGATCCCTGAGGGACCCCATATTCAATATGACCAATTCAGTTCAACTGAAAGTTTAATTGAAACCATGGATGTGATATAAAAAAGAAACATTTTTTTTATTTAGATATTCGATTACTTAATTACTCCAAAATTTTTCTTTCAATATAAGTATTATTAATGACATTTTCCACTGACCTAAAGGGGCGGATGCAGAAGTGCCCGTATGTTCCACTGTACAAATATGGTCAGAACGCAGGCGAGCATCCATATCTACGGTAGCAACGCTTTTGTCGTGTCCAGGAGTACCTGAGCTATAAGTCGTTGCTAAAGTTGATGAACATTCTTCAAGGTACCAAGGTTTATACCTGGAAAATATAATGTTAGACTGCTTATATTTGCTACTTTACAAAAGGTATAACTATAAATATCTCTATCGTAAGTAAAACAGATGCATTCAACATTCGTACCACTAACTTTTGGTTCTGTTTATGGTTATTTCAATTGAAAAAAAACAGGTTTGGCCATATCCCTCACCATCTAGTATGTTGGCTATATAATACGTATGGCCAACATACTAGGTACTTCAAATATGCGCATGCTTTTCCACAAAAATGAATACCGCGTAGATATAATCTAACAAAATTTAACGTTTTTATTAGGTTTGATCCACCTGTTGCGACGGGCCTTTGTGATTGGCCCACCTGGAGTTGTAGAAGACTTTGAAGACTTTTTGATTTTACTTCCAATGAAAGGTCAAACCCGAGGCACAGATTACCTTGATATTATTTACGATTTTATAAAGAAGAATGAAATTGACATAAAAAAATGACTTGGTCCGAAAGTGGATTCATTACATTGTTCAAAAAGAAATATAACAAATTTAATTACATTTCATTGCATTATCCACCAAGAAAACTAAGCGGGGCGTGCTGAAAATTCAGAAATAGAAGCAGTGATGAAGACTGTTATCAATATTGTCAATTATATTCGAGCAAGAAAATTGAATCACAGAAAATTTAAAAGCCTTTTTGGGTGGTGAGTATAACGACGTCCTTCTGCATATTTCAGTGCAATGGTTTAGTGGAGAAAAAGTTTAGGAAAGGTTTTTTTCCCTACGCCATGAATTGCAAACGGATGGATGGTGGTGTCTTTCAGCCTTTTTATGTGATATTACAGAAAAAGTAAATAGCCGTAATCGTAATTCACAAGGTGAAAATAAAATAGTCTCCCATCTTTTGAGGAAAAGCTAAATATTTATCATGAAGAAATTCAGAACAAACAGCTGCTAAATCTTCCAACTATAATAAAGACTACAGAGGACCGTATTGACATTTTTGATGAAAACTGCGACATAAGTTCAAATTATACAGTGTCATCCCCAAAGTATGCACCATATGCACGTCAAAATGTTACTCTTGATAATAGCTTGTACATCACCTAAAACTAAAATCGTCTTCGGGTGATAACTGCGCAAGAAGCTGAGGTGCAGTTATCACCTGTTGTCCATAATAATTCTCCAAAATAATCTTCAGAAAATCAATGAGTTTATTCCAAAATACCTATTTTATTTTGATGTTTTGTTATTTGATATTATTGAATATTAAGTATTGTTACAATACTGTATAATTTTGAGTTATTTTCTGTGTTAACAAAAAATAAAAATAACTTTGCACCAAAAGTTTTGAAAATTATATTGCTCTTCAAAAAAATTGGCCGTGGTTTACACCATAGTTGTGTAATTTGTAATATTGCAGGAATTCAAAATAAACCGTCGTATACAGTATGCTGTCTATTTATCGTTTTAGCAATTTTTTTTTTCATTGTCCCCATTTTAAAAAAATGGGTTAAAAATAAAACTTCACTTGGATGGCCATGACTTCAAATCTAAATGTATTTTTCAATGTTGAACAACTTTTCTGAATAACATTTCTCGAGATTTTTCAAAATAAGAGTACTTTACTCCTGTCTCAAAATCAAATATTTGAAGGCTCCTCGTATATCACATGTGTTTTACTGTATTTCGTTGGTGCATGTTTGGTTTTAGAGGATGCACAAACTTTCATCAAGAATAATTTTTTTGTCGAAAAAACCTTAATAAATAAGTTTCCCATATGGTGCATACTTTGGGGATGACACTGTATAACTGCATTATTGGATCAGTTTCAAAAAAGGTTCCAAGATCTTGAAAAAATCAAATCTAGAAACAACAACTATTTCAGAGCCAGCATCAGTTTCAGATTGTAATTATTCAGAGTTGTTCAATGAGTTCATCAATTTTAAAAACAATACCAATCTAGAAGTCCTGTTTAACGAAAAAGGGAAAAAGGCAATATGTGGAACTTTGGAGCAATGTTTCCCAAAAATATAAAAACGTTCAAAGAAGTGCCCAAATCTTATCAACATTCCTTGGGTCTACATTCGTGTGTGAATCGTCATTTTCGAAAATGAAATACACAAAGAATATGTGTACAGAAACAAACTTACAGACTCTCATCTGGATGATGTAATAAGGTTAGCAAGGAGCAATGAGCCAGATCTTAACAAAGTTTTGAAAAAGTGTTCACAGTATCAAAAATCTCATTAAAAAACATCTTTGTTGAAACCTGAAGTCATTGTTATTTCTTTCAAAATTTGGTCTACATCGCATATGGCTACATCATACATTTATATTATGAAGGTTACATGATCATATACTGTGTAGCTGGCTTTATTGTGACCATATTTTCTTTTTTTAATAAATACATCGCCAATTTTGAATTATGTTTTTTATTAACACTCAAATATATTTTGCGGCCCACGCATCAAGACCGAAACGTGTTTGTGGCCCCATTAACAAAAAGGTTGAGTATGGGTGGGTTAGATTGATGAAAATGTTAATTTTTGCGATCATTCTTTTGTGCAATATTATAATGTTTTCCGCTGCAATTAATTTTTATTGTATTTTACAGTGAAGGTTGGCATTCCCGTAATAGGCTTTTCATAAAGAAAAATTCACTGCGTTCTTAAGTAGGGGAAGGGTGAGCATAGTGGCAAAGTTGCCACTTGAAGTTTTCTTCACTGTATAGTGCTGCAGTGTCGCGGCAATAGTCACAACTACTCGCCCGGCAACCGTTGTTATAGTTTGGTGCCGCTCAGACGCAAGCTCACCGAGATATCGCAAATTTTCCACTTTTTCGACCCTCTGATGTTAGGTAAGTGCATCACATGTTTTGCTTTATTTTATTGTAGGCCTAGGTGGAGTAAATTGTACATCAATCGTGCAAAACAACATGTTTCTAGCTTTGAATTCATATGTCTCAACAGTAGATACTACAACGGGTTGTACGTGAAATATTGTATTGAGAAAATGGCGTGCTAGAGGGCAAAGTGGCCACAGCCGTGGCCCCTTTGCCCGCGAATGTGTCCACTTTGCCCGCAATGTATGTTGCATAAAACTTGCTTTTTAAAACTGCATTCATCACAAACAATACTAAGTGGCTTATAATATCAAGAGCAAGATTACGGCAAACTTCAGTTATTCTAATTCTGTGTTTTTTTTTTACAGAAGAAGAACACTATGGTGTCCAAGTATAAAAAGAAAACCGCTCAGCAGTCCTGCAACTCTGAAGCTATGCAAAAGGCCATTGTTGCAGTGAAGAAGGACGGGTTGCCTTGGCAAACCGCAGCTAAAAGGTTCCAGCTACCTCGAAATACTTTAAAACGGCATGCACTCGACAAAAATGTTGAAGCAGTAAACACAAAAAAGGTTCTTGGTCACTTTCGGCCCATATTTACTGAGGAGCAGAAAAAAGAAATAGTTAACCATCTTTTGGACATAGAAGTCCGTTTTTTTTGTTGTAACAGTCGCTGGCTGAACTACAGGCTCTTGCCTACAAACTCAATGTTAAAAATTGCATATCTCATAACTTTATTCATGAAAAAAAAAGCTGCTGGGAAAGATTGGGTACAGGGATTTAGAAAACGCCACCCTTTGATTGCATTACGGAAGCCTGAGGCGACCTCAGCTGCACGGGCTCAAGCGTTCAACAAAACTAATGTATCAAAGTTTTTTTGACATTTTGGAAGGCGGGCATTCAGCAAGATCACGTATTCCCACCTCATTGTACAATGTTGATGAGACTGGACTCTTGACAGTCCAGTCCAAGTAGTCCAAGGTCTTTGCTCTAAAAGGTCGGCGATGAGTCGGCTCTTTAACACCTGCTGAACGAGGCGTTCTTTCAACTTTGGTAGTCTGTGTTTCAGCTGGAGGGACATTTATACCACCCTTTGTGATTTTACCAAGGCGTAGAATGAAAGTTGAACTGCAAGATGGTGCACCTCCTGGAACAGCTTTTGCATGTCATCCTACTGGTTGGATGCAAATGGAAATATTCACCTCATGGTTTGACCACTTCTTAAAATTTTCAAAGCCAACAAAAGACGACCCGATTTTTCTGATACTAGACGGTCATGCAACTCACACGAACAACTTAGACTTCATCGAAAAAGCCAGAGACAATCATGTCACTGTTTTGTGCATTCCCCCCCACTGCAGTCATAAAATGCAGCCACTTGACTTTGCGTTTATGACACCTTTCAATACGTATTTTGTACAAAGCATTGAAAAGTTCACTTCTGCCACATTTGATCCGTCTATTCCCAGCACTTCATCAGCTGGTTCCCTAGAAACAACTTCAAATTTGAACAGTCCACCAAACAAGAAGTCCACTCCATTTGCTGTAAGTCCACGTGAAATTGTTCCTGTACCCAAGGTCAATAGGATTATCAAAAGAGAAACTAAGCGGAAGAAATGAACAGCAACAGTTCTGACATCCAGTCCATATAAGGCAACTCTCATGGCAATTAGGAAAGAAAAAGAAGATGAAGAGAATGCGAAACAACGTAGACTAGAAACAAAAAGAGAATGGGAAATCGAAAAGAAATAGCAGGCTCCTAAGAAAAGGGTGGCTAAAATTGAAAATAAAGGAAAACGCGCATTGTTTAGGAAAAAGAATGACGATCTCTATAATGATGATGATGAAGGCAACGTCAGCGACGTCGATTGTTTATTCTGTGGTGATTGTTACTCGAAATCCAAGGATAACGAAGGCTGGATTAGATGTTCTGGGTGCCTCAAATGGGCTCACAAAGCCTGCACAGGAGCCGAAGAGGAGGACGATGAGTTTATTTGTGATTTATGTAAATACCAGTGATTCCATAGTTTCACATACTTTCAGTAATGCCTATTTTTGTTTAAAACCCTAATACATTCGTTTTACATATACAAAATGCGTTTTATTTTTTCCATACTACCTAAATCCATTTAGGCAGTGGCCACTTTGCCCTACCTAGTGGCCTAAAGTGGCCACTTTGACAACTTTTGGTTAAGTCAAAATTTTATTCAAACAAGTTTAAAAATCAAGTCGTTTTTATTTTTGGATCAGGCCTAAGTAACCATACTAAATGTTGAAGGGATGTATAAAATGTTTTAAAAAAGTTTGTGGGTGGAAAAAAATAGATGTTCCTTAGGGTGGCCACTATGCCTACCCCTCCCCTACCTTCCTTATGTCTTTTTCCGCGAAAATTGATACCGCGCAGTATAAATTCAGCGCTTTCGTTAGGCCATGTTATTGGTGAAGTTAGTTTTTCGTGATGATTGTTTTGGGCGTTTTTGCTTTTGCTGAGACGTATGCCCGTCGAACAAAATTGGGGTGCATTTTCCGGGGTGAAGGATGGGGTTCAGAAGGCTATAATCCGTATAACTGTCTCCGTTGTCTCACCACCCTTAATCATGTCTGAAGCAGTGATATACGCAAAACGTTAGCATAAACTTGGTGGATAACTACGCAGCAGACTTGTGACGTCAACAACCTCGAATAAAGCGTTTTGATGTGACGTAAACTTTAAGTAAGAATTTTTCAGTATATGAATTTTTGTTAGCAAGCGAACATGTATCTTTGTAATAATAAATAGAAGGGTTTTATTATCATACGAACGAATATGTAAATATTTGCCCAGTTGGAAGTATCAAGGTTCTCGCATGGGGCTTTTGTAATCGGATTGAAGAATCTTCGATTGAATTGATGGATGTAGCCGTTACTACGTGGAAGGACATCATAATGAAAAAAAGAATTGAAACTTTCTATGGTTTTTACCACTTTTATTTGTAACTAACGTTACTGCAGTTTAATGTATAAGTTTGAAAATGTCCTTATAGGACGAAACAGCAGCAACGTTAGTTACAAATGAAAGTGCTAAAAAACATAGAAAGTTTCAATTCTTTTTTCTTCATCAAATCATTGATTGGTGGAATGTTTTTTAAGGTCCCCAGCATGCTAAATGTTTATTTGTGACAGTTTCTTCTGGATTTTTTTTCTGCTTTTTGGTGTGTTTCCACTTCACAAGCCACAATATTGTTACTTAGTCGATTTCGTTCATATTGTTAATTTCTTTAGTTCTATTTCTTTAGTATTACGTTCACTTGTTCTCTGCCGCTATCTGCAAATGTTAGGTTTTTCAGATACTAAAAATTGTGGAGCCTTCCCCCTTAAAACACTTCAGATTGGAACTATTTCAAACTGTAGAAATTTAGCCTCTAATCAATTCGTATTCACCCATATATGACCGATTTCATGTTTCTAGAATCATAATTCAAAACACAATGATTTGTCAAATTTTTTTTGCCTTGTTACGGAATTCTGAAGTGATCTTAGGAACTAAGAATCAGAAATCAATGCACATATAGAAAATAAAATCAATAACAGTAGGCATCTATGACTCACCCGCCTTGTGTCGCACTTGATATACTGAGTGTAAAAATACTGTTGGTGTATCCATCACAGTTGCAAGAGTCAGTATGCCTTCCACCATTTCCTGAGGCCCACACGAATATGGACCCTTTTCCTCTTCTACCGCTGGTAACGCCGTAAATGAAGGCTCTTCTGGCCAAAGGTCCGGGACCGTCTACTGTTTTGCCGTCGTCTTCCGGACCCCAGGAGGCGCTGTAGATATCGATATGTTCAGGGTTCAGTCCCAAGGCTCTGGCTTCCACAGCGTCGTTGACTACTCCGTCCAGCATCCGGACACCTGGGGAAAATTCGGTTGTATACATTTGTGCAAAATTCAACCGATGTAGACGAGAATAAAAATGTTGGATATAGTGGAGATGTTGGAGACAATTTTAAGAAAAAAAGTCTATAATTTTGTGTACAGAAATGCTTCGTTTCGAAAATACAGGGTGTTGAAATTGAATTTTTTTGTTCGTTTTTTAAAAATAACTTTTGCAAAAAATAAGTTATTTGCACGAAATTTGATGCGCGGGGCTTTATTTGATGTGTAAAATTATAATTTTGTATTGATTTTCATGTTACATCTAGAGGGCGCTGCGTACGCTGTCATCATTTATTTGAATTGCCATAACTTTTTTGAAAGTAAACTTTTGGTACTTTTCATGAAAAAATCTAATTTCCACAACCATTCCAAGTAAAAAAGGTACACTTCCTCAAGTCGAGGATTTCCGATAATTGAAAATCGAATTCCTTCAGAGTATCACTAGTAACCACTTGTACCCACTGGAAGTTATCCAGAGAAAATTCATGAAACTGATGCTGAATAAACCACCAAGATACAACAGTGACGTATTATATAAAGAACCAGAAATATTCGATGTAAGGCAACTGTTTTTCAAAAGCCTTGCATTGCATCAATATGTATAAAGAAAAGGCAAAACTCACAAGACCCAATCATACATATACTACAAGACACAAAAACAAATACATAGTGCCCACTTGGAAGTATCAAGGTTCTTGCATGGGGTTGTTGTAATCGGATTGAAGAATAATTGATTGAATTGATGGATGTAGCCGTTACTACGTGGAAGGACATCATAATGAAGAAAAGAATTGAAACTTTCTATGGTTTTTACCACATTTATTTGTAACTAACATTACTGCAGTTTAATGTATAAGTTTGAAAATGTCCTTATAGGACGAAACAGCAGTAACGTTAGTTACAAATGAAAGTGGTAAAAAACATAGAATGTTTCAATTCTTTTTTCTTCATCAAATCATTGATTGGTGGAATTTTTTTGCCTTGCATTGCATCAATATACAGAAAAGGCAAAACTCACAAGACCCAATCATACATATACTACAAGACACAAAAACAAATACATAGTGCCATTAGCATTCAGAACAATAGGACAGAGATTTCATCAATTTTTGGGCCCAAAGGTGTTCAATTCCTTACCAGAAGATATGCAAAATTGTAGATCTACCAAGAACATTAAAAAGGCACTCGAAAAATTTATTACTAGACTCCATCGTAAAAACATTGGAAGAATATTCGACCAAAATAATTAAGTACGGATTACATGTCATTATTCACCCCAAATCCTTTTTATCTTCTGATTTTATTATGTAAGTATATATTTATTTTCCACGTGATCTCTTCTAATGATTTTTATCTTATACAACCATTCCAATGGCTCTGTCATCGCAAAAATGTAAATATTTACCTTTTGCTTTTTTTTATACATCACAGTAAACTTATATTGCCGTGTAACACAAATATTATTTTGTAAATGTATTATTTTAGAATCCTTTTTTCCATTTTAGTGTTCCAATAAGAAGAAAGTTTGGCCACTCGTCAGGGCAAGATAGTGCCTATCATCAACATAAAGAAGTCAATGATTTTCGTTAATTGAAAATCGAATTCCTTCAAATTTGTTTTCTGATAGGTGTCAGTCCATTAAACTACAGTGTAGGGAGTTGAAACAGGCCTGAACAAATTGTTCCTTTAGATGATTTGATTTATAGCCAGACTTCAATTATACCCACTGACTATATGTAGAGTTTTTTTCCTTATACGAGGAATTGGGCAAATTTCGGATATGCGGTTGGTTCACAGGCAGTTCACAGGCAGATGAGGCGATGACAAATCTGTTGTTTGTTGTCCGCTTCAGCCTACTTCGAGGAATGATACTCTGAAGGAATTCGATTTTCAATTATCGGAAATCATCGACTTCTTTATATCGATGATAGACACTGCCTTACCCTGACGAATGGTCAAACAGCCCGAAGGTCTGCAAGTGTGTTCCAATAATTGAAAATCTATTGTGGCAGTTGTATCGCCAACTCATATGCATATGAAGGAATAACTTCAGTGATGAAGCCTGCACTGACACTTGTCAGAAATAATCCAACGCCCTTCGTGGTATTAGCAAGGGGAGTAGTTGTTTTCTGATAGGTGTCTATTAACCTACAGTTTAGGGAGTTGAGTCTGGCCTGAACAAATTGTTCTTTTAGTTAGATGATTTGAATAACAAAGTTACTAATGGTACGCACTGTTACGGTAGATATAAGTTCCTCATATATCATTCATTTGTGTATTGGAATGTATTTCTATCACATTTTTATAATAAGTTGAATATATAAGTTCAAACGAAATAGTTTCTAAAAATTTGTGTTTGAAGAATACCTTAAGACCTTAAAATCCTTTCCGACTAGTATTCCGATAACACAATTTCACAGAAAATGTTCAAAAAGAACCGAAGTGAGTATTTACTTCATTCCAATTATTGAGGAAAACTTGCTGGGTATGTAGTGATGTTTAAAATGTTTCAAGAGAAACATTACTTCTCGCCAACTGAAATGAGAATTCATGGAAAGAGTATTTCGTCAGAATAGCAATTTACATTGAGCGATCCTTTCCATTAACTGAATATGAATTCAAATTGATGTAATGGAATGATTTATGTTGATTACCTATTTGTGCGGTTTGTATTAAAATGTTCGTTTTCAAGTGTACATCAAACTATTACAGTCTAGTTCACAGTAACATTTCGCAACTTTTCAGTTGGCCTTCATACAAAATTATGATTGAGGTGTCATTTAATTCGTAATTTACCCAGAGAGGTAAGTTACGTATGTAAACCTCCAACTTGGAAAACATTAATTATCAAAAGTATAGTTATCAGGAAAATTGCTATAATTTTTTTGTCGGCGAATATTTGTTCATTAGAAAGTGAGTATTTTTCATTCCTCAATATCCTTATATAATGAATTAAAATAATTATTTTTGTTCAAACGCTCAATTAGGGCGATTTATGCGATAGCCGAACCACATGTATCTACCCATATTTTTACCGCTAAAATTTTNAGTTCCGTATAGTCATTTTTTTTTAAATTCTCTGTTCGATAAAGACCTATTTTTCACACTTCAAAAATCTGCAATAGTTTTTGAGATATTCGCATAAAACGAACTCATCTTTCTCTAAACGAAACTGGTTTTAACCTTAAAACTATTTGTTTTCGGAACTCATCAACTCATCATAATTTCTTGTGAAAAATTCCTTTAATTTTTCTCTAAGCCGAGTCGGCCAAACTATTGGGAACCTGAACAGTTTGGCACCGTTAAGAAGTCATTGATTTGACCGTTCTTTTGTCTTCTTGGTTATCGAAAACAATGTTGTTCCACAAATATATTTGATCCTTGGGGCGGACCGATATCAAAAAGATATGAAGTAGTTGAATTTAATAACAACCACATGATTTTCTCAGAATATTTATTGGGTTGAATTATTTAGTGACCCTTTTCCGACATTTTTTTAGAATGTTTTTTTTCATACAGTCAATATATTATAATTTATTCACCCCTCATTCAGGTTCAATTTTTTTACATTTTCTGACAAAGTTTGCAACAAACTTAACAGTCTTTCCGACAAAATAATGAAAGAATTACAAAACTAACTCTGCACAAATAAAATTGCCTGGGTTTATTGAATTGAATATGTTTATATAAACTTAAATTGAAAAAGTGGCTGTATAGTGTGCCCCATTAAGTGACATAGTCAAAATTTGAATACCATCAGAAGTTAGTGCATGTTTGATGAACATATTAGAAAATACTAAGCTTGGGTTAGGTTCAAAGTGGGCCCATTCGACCCTCTGGTCGCACTTACGATCAAATGAGTCCAGCTGAAAACCTGATTCGGTACGCGGTAGAATTTCTTCATCTTCTAAACATAGACTATCTTCCGACAGTAAAGCCAAAAAAACCAAGATACTGGATGAGATCATTGTTAAGAAGACGAATAGATTATGGAAGACATGAAATTATGACAGATTGGATAAATGATGACCTAGGAATGAATGGAGAACTGAAATCGTCGAAATTTACATCCACCACAGGTTGACACTTGAATAAAGTACACGTAAAGTAAAATAAAGTCACATAACGAAAGAAAATAGTGAACTGAATAGTTTTTTGTTGTCGTAGACCGTTTCCACATAGCGAATTCTGTTTACAAAAACACAGACAAAACACTGAAACCTTTTGATCTTCCTCCTATCGATGGGACATTTTTCCTTATTGACAAAAACAGTCACCGGTGACACAAAGTTTTCAAAATGTTTTGACAACTCAAGTTGCTGTCGTGGTTTTGTCCGTTTGGTGGAAATTATTTTATAGGACCATTTACTTTCAATAGTACTTTTTGATTTTTGTTACCTATAAACAAATTATAAATAAATTGTGTTTATCTGACCACTATCTATAATTTTGGGATGATGCAATATAATTTGTTTCAAAAGTAGATCTCAGAATAGAAATTGTCCATGAAAATCATATTGTTTTTCTAATATAATACCCAACTCAAATCATAGTCTCCTTTTCGAAACATACTTAATACGTTTGGATTAAATGCATAATATTTATTTTTTGTAAAAATAGGATTTTTTCAATATCCGTATAGTCATACTTTTTCTAGTCCTTCGAAAGTTTTCGACTGTTTGATGTTGATGACTTGGATCTCAATGCCAAAAAAATGGTTGTGAAGTGGAAATGCACAAATGATTGGAGGAATGATATTCAACAATTGACTACAATAAATATGAATACAAATTACAATTATCAATAATTCAATCAAACGAGTGAATATGTATCATTTTTCATTATAATTCAACTAAATATTTAAACAATATATCTATAGAATATATTTTCTACCTTTTTTGTATCAATCTACTGTTTTTCTACCGATCTTGAAAATTACCTAGCAACACTGACCCGATTTCGAGCTTCACAAAGTT